TTTTTTGCCGATTTATAATTGTTATAGCAGCAAGAACAAATTAAAATGAAGTAGTAAAATCGATCTCAAGCACATTCGACGATCAATATGTTACGACAGAAAACACGTCTGTGAATTACACCGATGTTGTGGATGAAATAAATATAATAGGAGACTGCATATTATTCGATATCTAATCCTCTTGATAATTTTATTTTAATGGCGAGAAATTTTATTGTTTTAAAAACAGTGTTATCGTGAAGCTTAAATAGATAGGTAGGTATTTAAGTGTTATCGAATGTAGTTAGAATTCAAAATCAACGCTAGACAATTGGAAGGATTTTTTTTTTTTTTTTAATAAGGTTTATTATCAACGATTTGGTATCGGATCAAATAATTATTTATTTTTTCAAACGTAGTTACAGCCGTCGATCGACGGGTTATCGTTATGACGTCATCGGTTCACAAAGCCAGTCGTAGGAGAACACGCATAAAAAACGCAGGACTTCATTATTTCGGCTCTTAACTGTGTCAAATCAGCCAACGATAAACAGGCCCTAGTCCCGAGCGCGTTTCGTCAGACGTGAAACGTGATGAAACCAAGTTCTATGATAACGCATCCGCAGTAGGAAAACAAGCCGCAGCGGAAAAGGCGAGAGGAATAATTGGCATCGACGCGGTGCGGTCGTCGCCTCGTGATAATAAACGCGCGTGCGTTGTACGTAATACTCTGTAGAAGCATGTGGTTTTTTTTTTTAACCGTTATATTGTTCGTCGGCGCTACTACAGTGTTTACGACGAGGAGAAAACACATCAATACGCGAAAAATTATAATAATAATAATAATGGAAAAAAATAATTATAACAACAATAATAATATGTAACATCGATTCGCGTGGGCAATGAACAACGTACACGTGACAAACCCACAAGCCATTAAAAACCTAACGAATTCCGATGAGAACACAAAACACGCATTAACAGATCGAGGGAAACAACAACATAGTAGTGTGTAGCGGTGTGACCACTAATTTCAAAATGTTTAAAATAAATACTATAATCGGAGCATTGAACATCATAACTATGCAAGTGCGCTATTCGTTAAACGTGTATAGCGTACAACTATATATGGTATGTTTGTTTTATAAACGTTAGTATTTACTATTGTTGTTACGGTGATAATAGTATAATATTGGGAACATGATCGTGTCAACGGTTTTACCTAATAATAATTGATAACATATTTACAACCAAATGATTTCAACATTTACAGGATAAGTTGTACATAATATTCACGATGGTGTACTTACTGTGATATTCAAGTGAGCGTGTGTGTTTTATGATGTGCGAAAGAACAGAGAAGAGACGCAAGGGACAGGCTGTTGAAATATAGTACGATCGGAACACGCATCGCACACGACTAACAAAGACCATGTTATGAATGGAAGTGAAACCGTTTACCGTTTAGTGGGATGATGATCGAAACGTAATGCACAATCAAAAACATTTTAAAATAGGTATTTTCCCCAAAACAAATTCCAAGTCTGATTGCCGCACGATAACAATAATGGATGTATCGTAACATTGATTATAAATACTTTATTGTATAAGATTATCATAATTATAAGTTATATTTAGTTAACAATTGTAACACATTATATTAATGTTTCTACAAGGAAACGTTGGAAATTTTAAGGTGAACTGTGGGGAAAAAACGCGCTCAATATTTTCGAGTAGTTCAAAAACGTTGAGAAAAAATAACAAATGTTAACTGGGTGGGATAGTGTTCGTTTTAACCAGTGCCGTACATAGCATAATTAGCGCCCAGTACCAAAAATAATTTTTAAGTACCCTCACCCATATACCAAATATTTTTATAACTATAGGCTATAAGGAGATATAACATAAAAATAGAGAGTTATATATAACTACTAATTTTGTATTCATTAAACGAGCAAAATAAATAATCAACAATTAAAGAAAAATTTAAGTAATATAACTCAAATTGTATAGGTAGAATAAAAAATGCAGATAACCTATCGTATTAAACCGGCATAATTTATTTACAAATCGAATTTATTTGATTGCACAAAAAATAACTTATTTTTAAATAATGTTCGATGAAAAATAATTAATATCTAAACAACTACTGTGTTCATGAACTACGATGTGAACACTGCCATAGATGCCATCTATAAGCGCGTCTACATAGTATGCAAACATGACACACAGCTCACGTGTTTGAATCATGTGTGATGTTTGTAAACATCACATACTGCACACTCGTTCACCGTACACATAGTATTTAGTGTACTTGATTTTCGTGTTGTACATGAATGAAATAAGTTGCGTGGACACTGAAAGGCGCGTCCACATGTTTGTTGTTGGCCTGGGTTAGTATTTAGCGTGCAAAAAACTTAAAGCGTTGTAGGCAAACCACGTCGATGTATAAACTTCATTTGCACCCATTCCAGAACATTTTTTTGACGCTCTCGGCCATAAGAATTTAAAACCTAATTCATTTTTTTTCTTTAGTACAACACCATTAGTTTCAAAAACAGAAGCGATTGCGACCCACGCATCCTTCTTTTTATTTTTTAATTTATAGAATTTATCCTTAAGATCCCACAAAACGGGATACTTTTCATATTCATTGATTAATTGTAATATTTGTTCGTCAGTGAAGTCCATTTTAAATTATGTAATTTCAAAAAACCTACATGATAATTTATAACCTACACTGTACACGTACACTGACAAAGTGACAATGATCATTTTATTTTTATTGCGTTCGGACTTAGTTTCGAACAGTAAATACACCAAAATAACGAAAAAACCCCGTCCAATAGTAGTCATAATTTTCTTTGATGTACCGACAATCCAGCAAACACGAAATACACATGTATGTGATGTCAAATGGCGATCTTTTATAGAAACTTCAACATCAATTTAACAATTATATTGATAAGAGTATTATTTTTGTCAAACTGTTTAACTGCTCATTCGTTCTTGGCGCATTGTGATTCTTAAGTATGTTTTAAATCACTGTAGATCTGAATTTTATTAGATGCAGTATTTGTAGGAATCCTTTCTGAATTCCTTTAGATTTAATATAATTTATATTGTTTATAATTGAATCACATTCAAAATTTATAAATAATATATTTATAATTTTAATCTCACTTGATAAATAATTTGATTTTACTTTGTACGTATTAAAAAATTCCTCTATTGACTGATGTATAGGACTGTCATAATCAATAGCTTTCGTTTGGTATTGATTTCAAAGTTCTAGGTCAAACCGGGTGGGCCATCTTCACAAATTCAAACAATTATAGCGCCCAACTAAATTATTTGCAAATTTTTTAAAATCTACTTGCAAATAACTTGCAAAATAATAGCACAGATTTAATAAAAAATTGCAATACTTAAGTTGGCCAACTTCATGAACTTTGAACGTGTTAAATATTATGAATTAAATAATATGGTTAACTTTCAGTAATATTACTTCGATTATGAAAAAACTTTTAGTGCCCGATGCACACGCATTTATTTCTCGCACCTTCCTAGACAGTGCTTTGGTTTTAACAAATACTTTTTTTTTTACAAGAGAAATCCAAGTCGCACTACGCGAAGTAGGATACGGTGGGAAAAATTGAATCGTAAAGCTTTTGTCGTACAATTTTTAAATGGCAAAATAGAATAAAAATTATTCAAATAAAAAACGATAGCACTCGTCATCGTCGCAGTTGTCGTGACACGTCATAATAATATAATAATATAATCATTAGTTTCGATGGAAAATATAAATTACCATTGTTGTCGCATCCACCACGTTGTTGTTGTTATTGTAAACCGTTTTCCAGCATTAAATTTATTATTAAACAGATTGCCGTAATATGAAAATTGAAAAAAAAAAAAATGTTAACAACCTTTGTCCCGAATTGGGTTGTCATTTACGGCGTGTTTGTCCAATAACAATAATAATGATAAAAAAAAAAAAACGTACATCGACCTATTTGTATAATAAGTGTTATGTCAAAAAACCAAGGCCGCGGTCAATGGTGACATTTCGCGAGGACCAAACATTTTCACATTTTCGTATACGTCGCACGAAAATCATTTAATTTTTAATCACTGTTTGCCTTTCAATTATCCGTCCGCAATAAACACATCACACAAGAATCGTCGTCTACGGCCATGTAATCACGCAGCTTACTATATTACACAAAACAGCTGCTTTTTCGTGTGTATTTAGTATACGACGGAAAATTTAGGTGCATACATTATTGTACACGAGGTATTGCGCGTGGTCAATACTGATATAAAAAAAACGCACGTGCATCGAAGGAGAACGTTAGAAAAAAAAATGACCACCTACTTACGTATTTTAGTACGGAAATACTACGAAAAAAAAAAGTCGCTTTTAACGCAATAGGCATTGCGACCACAACCCGTATTACAATAAACAGTTACAGCAGATTTGACGCGGATTATGTGTCTATCGATCGCAATAACGATTTATCTAAGGGTTATTACACAAGAATTATCCATTTACATATATGAGAACGATGTGCTTACAAGTGAGAGCATAGGTAATATGATCATCAATGAATATTTATAATATTTCAATCGTATAATTTGAAACGATGTCAGAGATAAGGTTTTATTATCTAGCGATAGCAGTGATTTTTCGAGTACGATATTCAATAAGAAAACTGATTTGAATTCGTTAATAATTTCTAGTGATTAATGAGAAATCTCTATGATTAAACTTTAGTTTCGTTTTAAAATTTAAATACCAGATCGAACAATTGTTAAAATTATTTTAACAAAAATATCAGGATTTAGAATTTTTTTTTTAAAAAAAAAACAACCTAAACGACAGCCAAAAAAAAAATCACCAAGTAAAAATTCTAAAAAAACTCAACACATTAAGAACAATCCTTAGTCACATACTTAATGCACGTATACAGTTGTATCAATCCATTTACTCCTCTAGATTTAAATAGGTTACTGACCTGTTGCAACTGGCCGGCAGCCGTAGCGGGTCGAGCGGGAATCGTGAGCTTGTGTAAGTTGAGTGGATAGTTTTGCTGCTGCTGAGGTTGTCTGGACGACATCGACGACGATTGGTGTTGCAGGTGTTGCGACACGACGACCGGTAACGATGATGAGGACGGTGGCTGACGGTGATGGTGGTAACCGTTTATGACGGCCGCCGTCACCGTCGAGGACGGCGGTTGTTGCAGGAACGTGGGCGTTCGGGCATCTTGACGGCCGAACACGGTCCACCGGTGGTCCATGCCGGCCACGACTACGGCGGGATTGGACTGCGATGAGGTCGGAGGCGCAGTCGGTGGGGCCGCGGCGAACGGCCTATGGTAAGACGATGACTGGCCGCTGCTGCTGTTGCTGTTGCTGTTGCTGCTGCTGCTGCTGCTGCTGCCGTTACTGCTGTTGTTGCTACCGCCGTCATACGGTTTGATCTGGAACGGTCTGGATTCCAAGTAAGACGGCTGCACCGACGCCGGTCGTTTTTGGTGGTGATGGTCGTCCGACGACCTATGGTTGAGGTGATGCTGCTGCTGCTGTTGCTGAGACGACGGTGGTGGTTGTTGTTGTTGCTGCTGCTGCTGCTGTTGATGATACCGCGGTTCGGGTTTCTGCACGATCACTCGGTTGATCTCGTGCGATGCAACCGAGGAGGACGAGGACGGTTGCTTGGCCTGTGCAATGGGCACGGCTCTGACTCCACTTCGAGGTTGCTCGAGTTTCGGATCGTATCTAATGGCTAAGTGCGACGACTGCGGTCCAGTCGCCCCGCTTGGCACTTCGGACTTTGGTCTTTCTAACGGTTGAAACCTACTGCGAAAAAATATAATTAGGTTAGTCATATTCACTCGTGGCACGCGCGCATAAGCGCGATTGATATACAACTAGTAATCACTCAATTAGGGTTGAATTCAATATCACAGTTAGTTTCTAATAACTCAAAATATCGAATAAAACTATCTTTACTTGAAAACTACAGGTTCAACATATTTATTAAAATGAAAAAAGTTCGGATCGGCGTGATGGTTGAATCGGAAACTGGATTGAAATAGAAATCCAGATGAAATGGATTGAAATCGATAATCAGATTAAATAATTCTAATCCAAGTTAGGTTAGATTAGGTTATCCTTTGATCAATCCGTTGATCCGAAGTACTAATATTTACTCACGCGCACGTATATCGACAGAAATAATTATACCTAAAACCTACACGTGGGTACACGTTTGATAGGAACTATTTTACAACAAACTTACTTGGGCGGTGGTGGTGGCGGTGTCTGGATTGGTTTGAACCGCAAGTAATCCCTGTCGATGGGCTGCTGCTGGCTACTACTGTGATTCGTCCTGTTGTAGTAGTGCGAAGAATGCGGAGTTGGCGGTGGTGTCTCGGGAACCGAAGGCTGCTGCAGGCCGGACGCGTGCTGTTCCTTGGGCGCGGTGAACGGCGACTGAGGAGGAGGCGCGGTGGTAGTGGGCTTGGGCACCATCGCGTACGGCGATGGTTTGGACACCACGGCGTACGGCGACGGCTTGGTCGGTGAGTACTGTTTGCCGACGGGAGGTGATGAGCGGGCGGCCGACGGTTTGAACGGCGACTGGGCCAGCGGTGGCGGTTGCTGCTGTTTGACGGTCGACGACGACGACGGCGGCGGCGGCGGTGGCGGCTGTTGCAGCGGGAAAGGCAATTTGTACGGCGAAGACGACGATGATGACGACGACGACGACGACGACGACGACGAAGGCGGCAGCTGATGGTGGTGGTACTGCTGCAGCGACGGCGGCTGGAAGTGGTGGTGCTGGAACGCCGCGGGCTTAGGGTCAACGGCGGTACGCGGGTAATGTCCGGGCGACGTGTACGGCTGATAGTTGTACCGCTGTAGATGCGGATGGTGGTAACCGGCGAAACGATCGGTGCTCGATGCCGAAGACGATTCGGTCGACGACGACGACGACGACGTACTCATTGGTGTCCGACCGCCCCCGCCACCGTTGTGAAGTAGGTGGTGCGAAGGGGGCAGTGGCGGGGCAAAGTGCAGTTGGGCGGCAGCGGCCGCAGCGGCAGCATCGCTTGGGATCCCTTGGAAATATTTCCTCGTGTTTTCCAACATATTGCTAAATCCCGAGTCCATAATATTACTTCAGCCTGCGGAAAAGAAAAACATACGAATTTAGGACACAACTCGTTGCGATAAGAATCATCCCGTGATGATTGTCGTGATTATGCGTGGAAAATATTTATTTTATAAATTTGACGATAAATTATAGGGTTTACCTTGACTAAAACTACTTAACTAAACTAAACAAACATCGTATGTACATCGGCTAAATACCATCAGTACGGTAAATTAATCCGCAGGAAAGTGCATTCCGCGAACGTGAATTGTCTCGTGAGAACGTAACACCAAACTACGTAATCGTGGGTCATTTCATGTGTACCACTATTACACTACTAAACCTATCGTGCACACTTGCAGAACACGACACGTACATGTATATTGTTAGTGCACTGGATAATACGTGTGTTATACAATGGAACCCTGTACCGCGCCCCGTAAACATAAGTTAAAACATTATATTCGCACACGCACGTATATTATGTACGAACTGATTGCCGAGTGACTCTCGGATTACTACCCAAAAACAACAAAAGATAATGGGAGGAAAAAATTATAGTTCTATAGATTTGCACGTCAAACCAACAATGGGCCAGCGTATCTTTTATATTTAATCCCTGCAGTAGCAGTACCATATCACCAACAGATCCGGGCGAATTCATCTGATCACCAGTAGCGGATTGTAAATTTTAAATATTCTGGGGAGACTTCCAATTATTTAACATAAACTCCATACAACAACGAACAAGAAAAACCCTTTTATTGGAAAATTAATTATACATAATACTTAATTTAATATTTTTAATTTAATTTAATTGTACATTTTTACTATATACTAATTCAATACTGCATTTTTTTTTATCTGCGAATCCGCAGATGACGGTGTATAGCCACTAATAACGGCACGATGGCACGGAAATTATTGTCATGGACCCAGTTTCAACAGCGTCTATAATACGCGGATTATTCTCCGCGGCCCATACCGTCCAACAAGCCATTACACGTAACGATTTCGAACGTATAGTTTCACTGAAACGGCGACCGTTGTCGAAATTTTCTAAAATAGTGTTTCCATCGAAAAAAATATTAACAGGTTTTATATTTTGTGGCCTTAAATTTATTATAATAAATATAGAAAACGATATAACATATTTTCAGTAAAAATATTTCTATACATTTTTAAATAGTAATTATTTACAAGTAGCTGTTTTTTTTTTTAAGAGGACACGCAGACTCGAAGTCTTCCCTGACGAGCCGTCTCTGCTGATCACGTTTTTAAGGTATTTAGCAAAGAGTAGAATTAATATAAAAACGATGGTACATTTATATATATAATACACATATTTATTTAAGAATATACCATAACACGACTATAAACAAACACATACACACGGATTTTGCAGTTGAATAAACATATGAACTCAGTTTGACTTTTTGTCATATTTAAAATAACTATTATGTAATACCCGTATAACAAAAGATTTACTAGATTTAAACTTTTGTGTATACATATATAAGCTTTAAATTTCTAAATTCAATTCAATATACCAAAATTTTATATTATTTTACAATATTTTAAGTAATTTTAGAAAATTGTTATTAAACGTACGTACGATCAAAATTTGTGCATTGTATTTATTCACGTATATTTATTTTAATACCAAAAAGCCGAACTTATCATGTATACATTTAATTTTTTAGTTCAGATGTGTTTATTTTACAGCAATACATACGTCAACAAAGTCAATGCCAACAATTTCGCTATAGTTTAAAAATTTTAAATTTCATTCTATTAAATTAAATTAAACTTTTTTTATTGAAGTTTTAATAACAAGTAAACAGGTTTCTACCAATTAAAGCTCATATGAAACCGATTAATATTCGCAAAAAATTAAGAATTTAACTCACTATTAAATGAAATAAAATAAATTTATGTTTTGAAGTTGAGTGATGCATTATTATGAGTATATGTTACCGGCAATATGGATAATTTAGGTATTTTGCAAAATGCCAATTTTTTTTTAGGCAAAGTACAAAACATTTTATTATATGTTTTATTACATAAAGATTTTTATAATTATTATATTATAATTATTATATAAATATTTTACTTAAACTACTATTTACTCATTATAACAAATTGTAGAAAAGTGAAATTTTGAAGTGCACAAAATGTTATTTTTAAGGCAAATTCGCTTTTTATTTTGACACTTGGTCTTACAAACACATTTTAAATATCCTTGGCCAATTTCTGTGGATTGAATTTTTATCAACTAATTTTATTTTCTTCAGATAAAAATCTAGTATTAATGGTCAAAATTTTGTAGTTTGTTATATAAATATGACTTCATATAATGAATCGTATGCATAGTTGCAACACCAAAACGAGACATGAAAATGACGAGAAAAATTACGATATTGTCATAAAATTATTAGTATGTTAATATTGTACCTCTGAATAATTATTATAGTAGTAAAAGAATATTAATTTTTATTGCGTTAAATCATGCACCCACATTTATGATAGACGATAATTTAAGTCATTGGTAATAGGCGATGCCCAATTTTGTTTGTTTTCATCATATTGCCTACTCCACGTCTGGCATTTTATATAATGCCTAGGCATTTTGCAAAATACCTGATTATCCATATTGCTGGTAACATATATATATATTAATAAGCATTATTAAATTTCTTTTTTTTCGTGTTGGAACCGATTCCTTACAATGCTACACATTCGCTATATGCGTAAATATATTATTATTATTATGTGTTTATACTATATGTCAAGGTCCCCACACACTACCGCGGTGGCGATTTTTATCCAGTATTAACATAATATATTTATATATTACATACATAATTGTATAATTCCTATGTAATATAATATATTATTTGATAAATTTACGATTTAACTATATAGTACGTTAGTACTATATTATGTGCTTTTACTATTATACTTATTATTTAAATAAACTTGAATAGTTTTTAAGAAAATAATCGAAATATAGACTAATATACACCACGGGTTCTCATGCTTTTGAGGTCCGTGCCCCTTTAAAACTATTTTATGAGTTCATGCTCTAGCCTCTCTCACTACTATAAGATTGATGTATGCATAATATTTATATGTAAACTATACTTTAATGTTAGTTATTGCATTAATAAGAATACAACTTTAATGAAGTTTATTTAATATTAAATTGATTTATTTGCAAAAAAAAAAAAAACGAAAACGGCGGAGACCAACACAACGGCAAGGCACGGTATATAAAACAGCAACGTTTTCATTTTTCGTTTTTTTTTCAATATTTTCACCCCTCCCCCCTGAAATTTTGTCGCGCCAACATAGGGGGGGGCGCATCCCTTAGGTTGAGAACCACTGATATACACCATGTATATTAGGTAGTATAAGTACTATTAGCGTTTATTTGATAAGACCGCAAGAAATAGTAATTTGATGAATATATGTTAAACCAATGTTTGTCAGAATTTAAACGTCCAAAATAAATTAAGATTAAACAATTTTGTATGGTTCTCAATTTTATTTAACAAAAAGGAACTGGCATGGATGGGGATCGTTTGAAGATGTACACCGTGCATAATTATTTTTATTATATTCTAAATTATAATTATCATTTTATTAATATTATTTATTATGATGAATTGGTATATTGGTCTTTGGAGTCGGAAGATGATGACATTTTACTTCTAGCAGCAGTGGTAGAAGATGAAGAAAACAAAAGGGATATTTATTCCAATTTTGTGTGAAATGTTATACTTAATACAGTATTTTTTTTTCTCGCAGAAAGCATAAAAAATGTTGGGTCCATAATATAAATTTGGATCAACTGATGTTTGGGGAGTTTACAACATTGATGCCTCATTTAAGAGAAGACAGAGAAAGATTTTTTTTATATTTTAGAATGTATCCAGAATGTTTTGATGTCATTTTGGATGGTATCGATGAAGAAATACGTAAAATGCCAACGAACTTCCGTAATCCAATTTCACCAGCAGAACGGATAGCGATTGAGATAAATTTTCAATAGAAACAAAGATAATAATAAGAAACAAGATACCTCAAAAGAGTTCATTTTATTCAGTTTAAATGGATTGTATATTTACAAAAAAAAAAAAAAAAAAAAATGGTGTTTTTTGCAAATAAAGGAGGAAAAGATAAAAATGTAACCCTAAAAAAGTCTGGTTCCTGAACCTCTAAATAATAAATCTGCTAAAATATTGGTTGAACTGGTGATTTTAGCAAACACAGTAAAAATATATATAACATATAAATGCAACACAAGCAACCAATGATTTTTAATTTGCAATAAAAATCCGACAGAAGAAATGATTTATGTAATTAATAATACTTTGATTCAAACAAGTCATTGAAAATCAAAACAGATTAAAACCTATTGTTGAATCAGTAATTTTTCACCCCCTTCTTCCTCCTAAAGAAAGATTGGAGACGCCTCTGATAAGCTTATGTTTGATTAAAATATTCAACTGCGCTCGACGGCAAATCTTTTACTACATTTACTGAGTTTTTTGAAACATTATGATGGAAATAGTTGTCCAACGAAATTCAACGGGATTTTGTGAAGATCTTACTTTTAAAAATATACGATCATAACTGAACTAACAATGACAATTAGTGTTAACAATATACATATAACAATATATTATACGAGAATAGTTTTATTGCGTTCTTATGTACCTGCGTTTGGAATTCGGACAGATAAAACCTAATGGAACGGTTAGCGACACGACGTCGGGAGGAAAAAAAAGTGATTTTACCAACAACACACGATTATACGCGTGTATAATATAATACGGCCTTGTGTATTCACTGCCATCAACACGAGGACAATGAAAGAGCCAAGGCGATGAATTGTTTTTTATTTTATTTTTTTCGTTTATTCATCGTCTGTAGATCGAACTACACCAATATTACGGGATTCGGTTGCACATCTATTTGTAAATTGTAAGCTATTCGTATACATTATACATGTACGTGTGTACGCGTATAATATAAAAATATAATTTATACGCGTCTCCGATTGCGCACCTGACGTCGTTTTAGAAAATTCCGATTTCTCTCTCGCTCTCGTCTCCGCGGATACGAAAATCGTATTTCACCGACAGGTTGAACGGGCCGCTGTGTTCGCACATATACGCCTGAACAAACGTATAGATAATAATACATACGATGACGACATTTACTTACGCGCAGAAAAAACGTTCGCAATAATACACTCCGGCGAACGTAAGTCAGGGAAAATATATAAATTATGTGTATAGAGAGAGAAAACCAATTATATGCGGCTGGATTCGATAAAGTTAAATAAGAAATTAAAACATATTAAATGTACCTAACATACAGTGTACACGTATAATTTGTATTAGATTGTACATTTCCGCGATTCGATGACTAATTATTATTCAAACGAGATGTTTATAATAATCTTGCATATAAACCCATACACATAAACGATAAAATATTAAAATACGATATGCAAACAAAATATATTCGACTCGTCTGTCGCAAGATCGCACATAACTGCAACGGTTTTGCACGATGTGCAAAACTGTATGATTCCCACCTTTTCTCGAACAATCGGTTATTCACACACGCGCGCGCGCATGCGAACTTCCATAAATATTACACAGCAACATTCATGCGTCAGTTATGTACTACGTTGGGGAGAAATAAGGAAAGGGACAACATAAATGTATAAAATTGCGTGTCGACATCGATTTTTGTTGCTATTTTTGGTAAGCGCTCCGACGATCTGGAAAAAAACATATTTTTTTCGCGCTGTTAGCATATAATCTATCGCTACGTTACGACCAATTTTTTTTTTTTTTTTTTTGACGTAGAGAAACTGATACTGAGGTTTCATAATATTTACCGACGTTTACTGGGTCTAGTATTAATTGGAATATTATGTGTATATTCTATATGCATATTACATACGAAATGCTAGATTCAGGATTATTCGCAAAATTAAAAATGTGACCCTTGCGTATCCGCTCCACTCCGGAAATAATTTTTTGCCGGACACGATATTATGTTTTCGTCCCAGGTTTAAAAGAAAATCGTTTCCTTGCATGCATTTTTTCCAATCTTAAAATTAAATCCCGAACAACGTTTAAAAAACAATAGTTCCATTGAATACTCAATAATTTCAACCGCCTAATTTATTACGACACCTATGCACTTTTTGTTATCGTCGCTCATTACAATTAATCGAACAAACAATAGTAATTATAAAACGACTTTATTAGTTTACCGTATTAAACACATATTAATAGTTTACGACCTTAATACTTGATTATTACTGTCCACACGTACGAACCGATATTTGACCGACGATAAACGCGTAAGCGTCGCGTACACGATACACGCTATTTATACGACCGATAATTTCCGTTAAACGATAAACAAACATATTGCCAGTTTTCCGTGTAAAAACGATTTCCGGCACTGGTTGCGCGCGGCGAATCCGATTAGAAAAAAAAATTCACCTCCACACAATAATATACACGTACCGGAAAAAATCCTTTAGATTTTATTTTATTTTCCCCTCGCGTGTTCACTATCGTATTCCATAATCTCATCTTGTACGCAGCGCACATCAGTTTACCGTTATCATCGTTTGGTATTTAATTATTGCCACACATATATAAACGTATATTATAGGTAAAAAATAATTGTTCTGTACCAACTTGTTAACCACCACCGAAACGAAGGAGAACTTAAGTATTTAATTATTTTGATAATTTCGAACGTTGCAAAAACTCGTGGGTACGAGTGGGTATAATAATTCGTACGCCTCATACGTATACCATAGACACAGACACCTTACTACCGCGCGGGTAGGTTAAACAATTCGTAGAAAGGTTTTTCGTAGACTGTTCTGCGTTGTGTACAAACATGTGGTAATTAGTAACCTTCCGAGGTTTTCCTAAAAAATAATTTTTTTTCCGCTATAGTTATAACCATTAAAAACATATTCATCGTAAATATAAGGTGCATAAAACGGAGTACGAAAAACGTACGTTTTCAAAATAAGATCCGACCAAATAATAAGTATACTAAAACAATAGAAGAAAAAAAAATCGTTTTTAAAATAAACGTTTAAATATCGATTAACCGATCCGAACAAGAATATCGTAAACGTAAAATCGTGTACACTTGAAATTCGCAATAATAAAATATACGTGACGGTAACCTCACCAAGGGGATATAACTTGAGTAAGAAAAAAAATTTTTTTTTCAAAGTGCGATCATTTCAAAGACGTAATTTATGAACAAACTACAGCCCCGCATTTGTACAGTAGAGTTACGATGAAAGAATTCTGACGATTATTATTTTCTTTTCGCATCTCACATTCACGAAAACACTTCGTAAAATACATCTTTTTTCCTTCAACACAATCGTTTACGGGAATTTTTTAGTTTTAGTATTTTTATAAACGATTAGATATCGTCGTCACAGTTGTCTTATGTGAGTTGTACACATTTTTCTCGCTTAAGAACGTTACACATATTGACGTGTTAGGAGTCGTGTGTTAGTGACCAACTTACGTAATATATACGTATAAAAAAAACAATAAAAACTAAAAATTATCAAACGGTTATTATTCATAAACTAATATATATCACGCGTACAAATAAAAAGATTCGATTCCACGTTTAACTCGCACTCAGTGGAATAGCAACGGTATGGTTTAAAAAACGGCATAACTTTAACACTCTTTCGAACATCGACCGGTGTGAACTTCATGCGTATACGCATCTCCTCTTTGTAATTTGATATTCATTATCATAGCTAATAGCATTCCCCGAATCATTTTGAAATGTTTTTACATGGTATTAAAGTTTATTATTTTTTTTTTTTTTATAAAGAATTACTTTCCAGAGTTAATAAACGTTCTTTGATCATGAACAAATACATATAATAATTTGCAATCTTTTAACGGGACACTATTCTATCTAAACGACGATAGTATCATATAATAATATAATAATTAACAATACAGTAATGTGTACAGCTAATAACGTAATTATGACCAACACACTTTCATTTCGTATTTTGTATATACACACGCAAGTGTGGTGAAATGTAAGACTGCACCAGGTGTATAATATATAAGGTTTTCATTAGAAGGACACGCGAGTCTACATTATAATAACGTAGGCGCAAATCGAAGTGGGCAACAACGATGATTTTCGCGTTCGGGTCGATAATATCTTTGAAAGTAGATCGGATGCTAAAAACATCTTTAGTCTTTACATTAAATACATAATAGACGTAATAAACGTTTAAACGTATGCCTATTTAGTTCGCGATACGTAGACGACAAACTAGTATTTTGTGTTTCTTGTAAATAAATATTGCACTACATACACAATAATTAAATTTATCATCGATGTCCGTGGAAACAATAAACGTTTCGTGATAATATACATTTTAAACGGATATACCACATACACGAAACGCGAAATATTTTTAAATACGATAAGTATTACGGTCATTACATGGGAATCGAAGTACTTCTTATTCGTTAAAATTACAGGCAGTGCACTGCTTACACTCACGCATATTATGTACACAGCAATTATAGTATACCTATTATGTCCAAGATGCATAAAAATTAAACAAAAAAAGCAATAGAAGAAAAAATATAAATATTGTACGCGAATTTCGTATTCAAATACAATGGATGAGTTACGGGCTAAAATAACGTTGGATTGAAAATGTATAACTCATTCTTTTGTTTTTGAACGGAATATAAAAAAAACACATTTTTTTTTTTTTTGAATACGTAAAACGCAATTCAACGATTTAATTTTTTAGAACGTTATTCAAATCAGTTTTTAATTTTTTTTTTTGTTCGGCATTCCATCACAACTATTCCAAAACACGATGAATGTTTTTTGCTTATACAAGAGATTTAGACCTACACCACGATTTAATAAAATAAACAGAAACATATACCCGACCAGCATAAACTGATTCTTGTATTCTTTTAATATGATCTA